CAGGTAAAAGAATTAGCCTCAAATGTCAGCATAAGTTATGAAAACCGGAAGAAAGTAAACCTTTTTTGACATTTGCTCATGAAGGCCAGACTACATGAGCTGAAAGAGGGATAAAACTGTTCTGATGAAATGGGACCAGGGGGATGATGATAATGACAGTTTTGAGATCATTTAGCTTTGCCTATTGTGTTTGTGATTACATAAGATACTTTTTTCAAGGTATTCAAGCCTTTTTCCAGGTAGTTTCACTGATTAGCTTCAACCGGGGAGGAGGTACTAATCACTGAAATCACCTAGTGTTTGATTGGTATGAAATCCTGAAAACTTTGCCCTCTGCTGCACATGGCTGCCCATCCGTGCTCCAGCCACAGCTTTTGGAAAAGATGATTAAACTCTCCACGCTGCGTTCCCTCGATGAGGACAAGATGTACCCACATCCATCCATGCATCTCATTCTTATTTTCAACATCACACTCGGTTGATTCTTCAGGTTGGCTACTAATTAGACAATTGCATAGCAACAAGATGATGCAACAGTCCTTTCACCCTTTGAGCTCTTGTTCTCTGTGGTATTAGCAAAGCTCACAGCCGTGCTTTCTGTTGGTGCATGAAAGGCAAGAGGCACTTGAGCTGCCATTATCCTGCCATATTCACCATCACATACTGAAGCATAACCAGTTATGCTGGTGAGGTCATTAACTAAACTGATGAATACAATACTTGGCATATGTTGACATACTTGTAATACTAAGAGAATATTATTCTAGGTGCTTTAGGGATTGGTACATTATCATAATTCCACATATAAAATAATGATATTCACATTATCAGTTCATACAGTGGTAAATCACACCTAATTGCTCAGAGGCATCATGTGACCATCACCACACTGGCATGTCATGTAACATTATCACTCTTGATATCTTGAGGCATATGGAGGGCCACACAGGCTGACTGTCAAGGACATATGACCAACCTACAGAAGGCTAGTGGCTAGAAAGCGTTCTTCTGCACTGAACCTCTCAGGCTGAGATCAGCCAATTCAATGAGGCATGACAGGCGGGTAGCGGTAGAGAGGACAGCTGGATGCTGTGCCCTGCAGACCTGCTGGGATCTAAAGAGTCTCCATTTCATAGCTGATTGAACTTGGCTACCTGCTTCCTAAGTTTTGTCTCCTGTGCCACTGCACACAGTGCAGTGACCTCTGATGCTGAATAGCTAAAATAATTTTTTTTAAAAAAGGTAAAAACCAAGCCAGACATGCTACTGCTGGGAGTTGAACAGTTGGCCTTTTTTTCTGTGTACCAAGTTGGCCAATTAGTGACAAACAGGATTCCACAGGCAGTGGTCCTGCTTATTAATTCATGACTCTCGGAAAGCTAAAATATGTCTGCTAGTAGAGATTACCATATTATTGGTAGATGCTTTTTTTCTGTTCAGCTCAACTAAAAATTATCAGAGCTAATTTGTGAACCTTTTATTGTATTTGTTAGCAAAACCCCATGGGACAATATACTGCCTTGTATACAATCTAAGAAAAAACTGCATCTATAAGCTTTCATTTCAGGCAAGGTTGTAAGATATATTTTATTAAAAAAAAACAAAACAAACAACTAGTAAACAGAGAAAACTGAATGTAACAATTATTGGGGTTGAGCATCCTCCCATCTGGTGTGTTTATACTGAGATGTTTACTATTTCTTGGCACTTTTTAAAAAAGAATCTTTGGATATAAATTCTTATGTCCCCAGCAACTGATTAGATCCATCCATCCATTTTCCAAACCGCTTAGTCCCAAACGGGGTCACGGGGGGCTGGAGCCAATCCCAGCCATCTGCGGGCGAAAGGCGGGGTACACCCTGTGCAGGTCACCAGCCCATCGCAGGGCCAACACACAGACGAACAACCACTCACACATACAAGCACTCCTACGGGCAATTTAGAGACACCAATCAACCTATGCTGCAGGTCTTTGGACTGTGGGAGGAAGCCGGAGCACCCGGAGAGAACCCACGCAAGCACGGGGAGAACATGCAAACTCCGCACAGAAAGGCCCCAGGTTGGCCGGGGCTCGAACCCCAACTGATTAGATTATTTATAAAATATGGACAATTTTGAGAAGCATCTGGAGATAAACTACTTTATTTTGCTTGTGACTATATTATTATAACAGCGGCTGGCTGTATCCAGCCTGTGTTTAATAAGCCTGGGAATTGGGCTGGATTAACTGTAGATAATTGTGATGAGATTGCAATCAAAGTTTCAATTAAATGGCAGCTACAGTAAGGTTACTCCCGCCTGGGTGTTGATTTGAGATCTGTTAATTTGGATTTAGAGTATTAGTCTTCTCTCATTCTCTATTTGTCAAGTTAAGGATGTTTTTCTGGGTTGGGAATTTCATTACTAATCCTGTGCTTTTTGTTTACAGGAGGATAGTAATGTGTTACAGCATTTTTTGTTTGGACAGGCTATAGTCACACCCAGAGAGAAAGCTGTACTGAAATGCTTGGTTTCAACAACAAGCAGTAATGCAGAGTCTGTGTTTTTTTCTCAAACGAATCAAATTATTTATGATTGTAGGGGGTGCTCAGTGCAATATGATTGTTCAAAGACTGGCTGCTAGCACTGAAACTATTAGTGGTGGTGGACTGTGTCACCATAACTGAGTGTGACAGTGCTAAATACACTCTCAGTTACACAGAGAGGAGAGGACACTGAAGTAAGAGGTGGTGGCTTCATTACAAGTTGCAACTGCTATACAGTTATTAAGGATTACTTTAACAATAAAAAGCATAAATATTTCCCAGCCATATTCATGGACTAATTTAGCCTGAGTTACCTACAGTAATCCAAATCAGATCAAAGACGTCATCTCATCCACTGAATAATGCTTAGAAGTCCTGATTTTTGCCAGACTTCTATCTCTGAATAAAAAAATTGAAATTCCTCAAGGAAGTTACCTGAAAATTTTCAACATAAGTGCAATACCAACATATTACATTAGGGGGAAGCAACACCCTAAAAGACATTTATCTGTCCGGGAATAAGTACACGAAGAAAACCGATAACGATGGAAGCACAGAATTACAATTTGTAGAACTCTACAATATAGATGTCGTCCTTTTTATGTGTTGATTTCCGTTGATGTTTGTAAGGACTTCATAGAGAACTTGCTTTATAATATTGCTGTTTTTTCTGTGTAACGTTAGGTATTATATGGGTTGAATTAGAGTAGTCTAACAATCAATAGACCAAATTTTATATATATTACACATATCGGGGTTTTTTATTTAATATTTTTGATCAAATTTAGCTCATCGCTATCCTTACATCTAAAAAGCACCAGCACTCCGATAAAATAACGTTACTAAAACATAGAGACAGAGATAACAGTTTTTGCTGGGCGACATTGCATCATTTTCTAACAGCAAAAAAAAAAAAAAAAAAATGAAGAAGAAGACGACAACCTTAAACATTTTCTATGTGTTTTCATTCTATGGCATAGCTTTTGTATTGGTTTGATTGGGATAGTTATTTGGACAGATACAGCTAAGGAATACATGTTGTAAGGTTCATTTCTATCTGATGGTTTTATTAATTTATATTTAATGTTTTATTAATTGATGTTTTAAATCGCACCTTGATGAGCTAGCTTAGCTAAAGCAGAACGTTAGCTAGCAGTCTCTTACCTAGCAGGTTGCTAACGCTAGCTAGCATCACAGCTAACGTTAGTTATTAGCTCAGTAGTCTAACGTTAATATTCTAGTGTTTGATTCTGATAATGATTATTTCAACGCGTCTCTGATTTTTAAGGTTAACCTTAGTCGTCATGAATATCAGATATATAGTTGTAACGTTACTGCAGCAGTGTTGAAGACCACTTCTTTTATTGCAGCTGTTAAGGTTTACGTTAGCTTATGTAGCTAAGTTATCAACACATTCGCTTACTAACATCAATTGACTGTAACATTAACCTCGCGGTATGCCGACTGGCCATATGGATTGAATGTGCTTCGTCAATATTTCAGTTTAACATAAAAAGCTAATTTAGATACGATTCAGACTACTCACTTGCCATTGTTACGATATTCGATCATATAGGCTATAGTGCTTGATAACATTAACTTTAGCCAACACTCGTAGACGAGTGTTAACGTAATGCACTTTAGACGCTCTATAAACAACCGAGAGCGCTAAATGCTAACACAAGTACCTGTTGTGCTAAGTTGTTCTAGCAAGGTATTTATTTGGGTTGTGAAATACAGGGAGATTGTGGCCTTGGGTCACTTGTAATGTGGTTAGCCTATTCTAGGATTTATAATTTGGAATATCCTAATAATTTACAACAATACAGTAACGGTAGCTTAATCATATAGTTACCATTTATATATCTGTACAGAGTGCTGCTCTAGGAGTTTCAAAAAGATGTGTAAACACACCATATAAAAACTTAAGGGAGAAATATGACAGTATATTAGTCTGTCCAGGTATAACTCCATGCGTTTTATTAGTGAACCATGTATTGTGTGCTCACTTTCAGCAGAGGGCACTGCAGCATAGCCTTAGAGTGAAAGCACAGAACTATAACACTGGGGATGACCATTTTATGCTCTTTGTTCTTTTTTAAACAGTTTTTGAGTTTTCTTGTAAAGCCTCAACGTCTTACAAGTCCTAAAAGTAGAAATTAGTGTTGGGTTTGCTCTCATATGCTGCACAGAATAGCTGACACATGGCAGCTCATCATGTTTGGCAGGATCTGTGATGAAAGGATTCAAAGCTGTCACCAGACAGTAACTCCAGACATCACAGACATGATCGAATGAAAATCCCTGCTTACGTTAACTGGCTGCCGTAGGGGAAATTTTCCTGTCTTCTTTTCCCAGAAGGACCTTTTTTTGTGGTAGACTGGCTAATTTCTTTTTCTTTGACTTTTCCCACAGTTTAGTGGGAGAGGGGTAGAAACCACATCCAGGATACAGAGGCTTGCTTCCCACATAATGACTTGGATGAGGTCAAAGGTTAAAGCACGATGATATTGTTCCTGTTTTCAGAGTTCAAAGTGAGCTGTTTGCCCATACGTACACTGACTCAGCTTACTGTTTAGTTTGGTTCACTGCCAGTTATTTAGTTTTTTTTTTTCATCTTAAATGACCTAAAGTTTTAAGTGGTTTTAAGACAAAAAAAGAAATAGTTTTGAGTCAAGAAATTTTTTTAAACACTGTTAAACAGACTGGTGTTTGGACCACATAATCTTTTTAAAACTACCACAGGTTCAGTTGCCAAACAGTGTTTTTCCCCCAAAGCTTTTCAGCCTGTAGGCATTCTCTTAACAAGGCAGTGCCTTAACATTGCTTATTCCTATTTAAAATAGGCTACATTAGCATCCAAAAAGTGAAGGTGATATGTGTGTGTTTCATTCACTTGTTCAATAATGATAGATGACAGCAAGACACTGGTATTAGATGAAATGTGGCACGCCAAGAGGAGGTTTGGAGCCAAGGCTGGGAGGAGTTTGGACGAAGAGGCGATACAGCCGTAGAAGGAATGACATACTCTCTGTTTCCTGGCTGGGCATCATCCCTGGTGACAATGCCCCCAAGCCTCAGTCCAACCCTGTCTCAAAATGCTTAGTCCATCGTAATCATGCAGCAATGTGTCCCCATTTTGTGCTACTCCAGGTGGAAAACGCTTTACCAACTAATCACTGGCCTTTCCAGAACAAATGTAAATCTCGTAAAGGAAATGAGCAGATTGAGACAATAGCCAGTAGTGTACTACTGCAGTATAAGCTATTCTACCATAACAGCTCCCATTGTTGTTTTGTTTTTCTTTTTTTCTCAGATTTGTCCTGTAGTCACAGAAGTCATGGAGGAGCAGACAGGCTCTCCTGCAGCAAATACTGACAACAGCCAGAGAAATGGTGATGAGGTAAAAATGGAGCACACAGATATCAAATGATGCATCTTGTAATTTTTCCCCATTTAAATTCCAAGAATGTCCTGCCAGTGGATGTCTTGGGAGGATTGCTACCTGAGCCTTCAAAAGGTATGTTTTTGTTATCTTTGCAGAAGCTCCGGCGTGGCAGCTGGACTAAGGGCAGGAAGAGGAAAAAGCCAATGAAGGACAGCAATGCACCTAAGGCCCCTTTAACAGGCTATGTTCGCTTCATGAATGACAGACGGGAGCAGCTACGGGCAGAGCGTCCAGATGTGCCCTTTCCAGAGATTACGAGGATGCTGGGCAACGAATGGAGCAAGCTGCCCCCTGAGGAGAAGCAGGTCAGTAAACAAGTTCCAGACAAGATTACACATGGCGCATACAACTGTGAGGAAAGGTGTGTAAAAGTTTTGCTTTTATGGTACTCTTTGTGAGAATACCTACAGAACTCTTCAGAGTCTGAAAGTATTCATACAGATTAGTGCAGTAAAACATAAACAGACCAGAGTCATGAGAGACGAGCAGCAAATTCTATTAACATTTTTCATTAACAGGATGGTTTTTTAATTGTCATTAGTGTTGGCTTTCAGTAATTGAACCAGCCATGCCCCAAAGGACTGAACTGAAAGATTCATCTACCGCATGCCAACACTTCAGACTGTCCCTACCCTCTCAAACCAGCAGAGACTTTCATTTAATTTTTCCATGTGCACAGAAACAATGTAGGAACAAAAGTCTATAGAGCCAGTGGTGTCAGTGTTTTGAAGCTGACAGGACACTGACAGTGTTTGGTAGCTATTTGACATCCTGTGCTGTCAGACTGCAAAATGTCTTGTGCATAGCTGCTAAAATGCTGATATTGTGCACAGCTTGAATTTGCAGTTTTTTTGGACTTTCTTTCTAGGAAGGTTTTAGAAGTCTGAAAATGTTTTATATTTATATTCAAAGGTGGGTAAGACCCCAGATAGCATTGCTGCTGATTTGTACCATGCTGGTGTTTTACACAGAGTTCACAGCTGAGTTAGATTTCCCTCTATCCTGAGACAAGGTCTGCATGAAAATGGATTTATTAGCTTTTTACCTTATTCCTAAGTCAATTATGTTACAAAATGCATTTTCTGTGAATATAGGTCATTAATATTGAAAATGACAGATTTTTGTCTATCAAAAGGAATCAGTTCTGCTTAGGAATAATTACTCTTATTCATCGTGCCATCTCACCCACCTCAGCCTGTCTTGCCAAATCTTATTTCCTCCTTTTTTGGCTGAGCCTTGTTAGCTCTTCTCACCTTTCTTTGTCATCTCTGCAGCGATACTTGGATGAGGCAGAGCGAGATAAGGAGCGCTATATGCGGGAGCTAGAGAAGTACCAGAAGACAGAGGCCTACAAACATTTCACCAGGAAGGTCCAGGAGAAGCAGAAGGGAAAGCGACATAGGGGAGGTGAGATGCTCTCTACCAGTTCTCTATAAGCCTGGGTGAGAGGGTGATGGTCTTACTTAAGGTCTTATGTTTAAAAAGTTAGAAGTAGCATATCCAATCCTTCATAGTTCTGGGGATGTTTGGATAAACCAGGCTTTGATTTGGTAGAACATTAAAATTAAATTTGAGAAATGTGCTCCACTGAAGTAGATGCTCTCTCTCATTTTGTTTCATTCACAATATAGACCACTGGGATGAGGTTTTTTGAATTACCTTTATTCACTGAATCAGTTCACAATGTGGTAAAGCCACATGGTGCCGGGGGAATCATGAATCATCCGCTGTCTCTCTTTCCTTCCTCTCCAGATGTTGGGCACCAGGTAGCCAGTGAGGCTCTTCATGAGGTTAGTCACTTTTTCCTGTCCTATCCCACTCACATTAACTTTCCTTTAAAAATGAATGTCCTCATTACTGAGTGATACTCACTCTTCTATTTACGATTTCATTCTGATAATGATAAGATGATAATCACTTTATTTGGCCAAGTAAGGAATTTGTTTCCGGTACAGAATCGAGGCAGCCATCTGCAGCACCAACTCACACCGATGGTTCTAGAGAAGGAAAGCACAAGGCCTCTTCAGAATAATGTGTTTCCTTGAATTTGTCTTTAGTAGCAGTTGTCCGAGTACCATGAATTGTGTTAACTAGGAGAGATGAATGAAATTAGATACAAGCAAAAAGTGAAACTAAGAAGAGATGATTTATTGCTTTGCCTTATGTTTCTTTTGGTTTTGTTTCATTAACATGTGTGACGTAAACTGTACAGCATTTTATGATGGTCTTTTTAAACCTTCAGCCACAAAGTTCTCACTGCAGAGAACTGACACTGCAAACACAAATAGATTCGCCTGGTTTATAACAGTAGCTTCTGTAAGCATGAGAACAACAAGATTAGTTCAGGTGACGGTGTTCTCAACATATCTGTGCAAATGTGTTAAACATGAAATGTGGTTCTGATTTTAAAAAATTTGACACAATAACAATGATTGAAATGTAACAAATTTCACTTACTCAAATCTTGATAAAGGGTCATTTTTGCTGTTTTCTCACCCAGGAACCAAGATCTGTTGTGTTTTGCCCTCTTGCTCTACACATTAGGTGCTTATTGTTGCATCACTAAAGCTGGGTTAATTTGCTTTGCTTCTTTGTGTATGATCCAAAGACTTGGCTTCTACTAAGTATGTAAATCATTCTTATGAAGTTCTGCTTGTAATTACGAGGTTTCCTTTGTAAGTCTTTCAGCATCCTCTGACAGGATAGAGCCAAGGTGACTTTACAGGAATCATCTTTTCTCTGGGAACACAAGTGTTTCCCCTTTAGATTTCAAAGGATACAGGATTCAGCATAAATTTAATTGTATTACAAAATTAGGAAGGATGATGCCTCCTTTCAGAATAGGGAATCTACAAGTGAAACCTGTACTGAATCTTGTGCTTCTATTGCGAAACACATTTTTATTACAAATGTATTGCAAACATTTCACAGCCTTCGATATCGTAGCAGCATGGTTGATGAAATTACTTGTACTGCCTCATTTCTTAAACTGTATCACTGTATTTCCCCTGTGGCCATGTATGAAATCTATTACCCCCCCCCAGAGCCCAGTTAGATAAATGACCACCTCTCGCTGTCATTTTGCATTGCCAAATGTTTTCGCTCTTCACCTTATCTTCTTCCCTTTCTCTTTCCTTTTCTGTGTCTCTGGCTGTTAACAGAAGGATGCAGAAGGGAAGGACAGAACTGTATTTGACATACCAATCTTCACAGAGGAGTTTCTCAACCACAGTAAAGGTAAAGAGAGAGAGAACACAGCCAGCTGTCTTGTTGAGAAATACTTTGGATTTGGTGCTCTGTGACTTTTTAAACCTCCATTTGTCTAAGTGTTTCTAAACATATTGCTCTGCTACCTCAGGAGAATTTTGTTTTATAAAATAGTGCTCCATCGTCCCAGAATAGTTCCACAGTCCTCCAAACTTAGCAATGCCCTAAACCAAAAAGCAATACACCTCATTGAGCAAATTAAAAATTGTTCATGCCCCCAGCTGTTGTGTCCTGATGTGTCAGCTCTCTTAACTTCTCCTCTGATTGCACATTGTTTCCATTTCTTTTTATTTATTCTGCAACAGCACGTGAAGCTGAGATGCGGCAGCTGCGTAAGACCAACATGGAGTATGAGGAGCGTAACGCAGCGCTGCAGAAGCATGTGGAGAGCATGCGAGGGGCAGTAGAGAGGCTGGAAGGCGACGTGATGCAAGAGAGGGGCCGCAACGGGCTTCTTCACCAACACCTGGAGACCCTGCGCCAGGCGCTCACTTCCAATTTCTCTGGTGTACCGCTGCCAGGTGAGAACAGCTAGCAACACTGGATGGGTATCACTTAATTCACCGAGGCTCCCACTTAACCGTGCACAACAATAAAGTCCATACAATAAGTGACTCAGTCTTAAACTCTTGTTGCCAACACTCACATTTTTAGGGAGTTTTCACCTTTTAAGATAATGTGAGATTATCTAGTTGTAGTTCCTGTTAGGTTCAGTTAGTTTTAGATCGATGTCAGGCCTTGCACCTGCTCACTCTTGTATATTTTCATATGTGTAGGGTTTATTTTTCCATTTTGCCCCTTATAGTCTTGATGGTTTTGATGAGCACATTATTATTGGACACACATTTCAACTACATTTGTGAGTGAAAAGCCAGAATCAAGCTGCTCCTGGCGCCTGGGGCTAGCCGGTCTCTTTGACCCAGTCTAGCGGTCTTTGTTTTTTGCAGAAACAACCATCATTAGTTGTTGCTGTGCCTGGATCATTGTCACTCTCATCCATCTTATCTTCAGTGATTCCAGCACCACTTGCCTGTTTGGGCAAAATGTTTTTGTACAGTGAGCAGGCAGTGGTGAAAAATAAACAGCACAGCATGTCATATGAGAAAAATCAGTTAAAAAAAAAAAAAGTGATAAGATATATTTGGCAGCTAATAAAATAGAACCTTTAAATGTTTGTATTATCCTGTGAACACCTTTGATTTGCAAAACAAACAGGCAGTGGAGAGACACCCACTCTTGAAACTATTGACTCCTACATGAAGAAGCTCCATAGCGTCATTCTCAGTAACCCGCAAGAACACGAGAGTCTCATCAGCACTGTGAGAGACGTGGTCAACCGTTTGGACAGGTGAGAGTCGCTTTATTTGGATGAAGGGTTTTAATGTCTTTAATAGTTATTAGTTAATGGCTGTTTATTATTGCTTCATCTAATGATTTATTTTTTGATTCTTGTCAAAAAATGTTAACAGTAACAAATATCAATCACAAGTTAATAGCGCATAAATTGAGCCCTTAAAATTTGTATTTCAGCTTGATTAACATTCCTGAATGTTGAAGACAAAACAGTTTCATCTTAAGGTCCATTTATTGGTTTTTGTCTAGCTTGTCTGTTTCAGCAGTGTTGGCTCATTTTTTTTTTTTTGCTTCAGCTGTAAATTACGAGTGTTTTTGTTGTTGTTGTTGTCTTTTGCTCTAGATAATTGGACCAGTTCCAGCTGATTTCATGGATTGACATTCATAGCGACATTTAGATATTGATACTGTGCTCTTTCTGCCAGTCTGTCATCCTGGAGGATTTTAAAACATCTTTTATTACTCTGCTACGGCGATTTAGGTGAAGGTGATGTAGCGTCTCATATTTATTTATTTTTTACTTTTTTTTTTAAACTCTGTTTACACTTTATTAAAATAGCTGTAGTTTGTTTTTATAAAATAATCAGCTTGCAGGACATGGAACAGTTTTATGTCCATTTAAAGCACATGCTTCCACAATATTATCTAAACCATTATACTGCATTAACATGTCTCATCAAAGAAAATGTGTTAGTGGGTTTGTATTTACAGTAGCCAGGAAATGTTTTTACAGATGGTTTTTCATGCTGTGTTGAAGAAAAACGTGCCATTTATTTTATTTCTTGTGTGCAAAAGTGTTTTTGTGTTTTCAATAAACATATTTAAATCGTGTGAGCAGTCACGTTGGGAATATGTTGGCATTGAAATGAAAGTCAGAGTTAGAGACACTAAGTCCATTGCTCTATATTTATTGTTTTAGGCTTATTCAACATGCCTCCCTCAAAGGGAGTGCAGTTTATAAAATAGGTACTGTTAATTGTGTAATGATTTCTCTTGGATGGCACATTTAAAATTTGCAATATAAATAACTAAAGCAGCTATTTTCCTTTCTGATGTGTCCAACTGGGAAGAACTGATGACCTCTAACAGCCTGATTTTGAGATCAGTCTACAATAGAAATATACTGCTAATCTGCTGTAATACATCTCTGTTTGGGATTGTTCTTAGTCAGTGCCTGAGCTTATTTATTGGAGTAGATGAGGAGCTAAAATGATTTGAATTGGTTAAGTTAATTGAGCAGCTCTGCTTTAATTTACCGGAATTTGGAGAGAGACAAATTACTTTGCACTCTGTGGCCCATTCGCAGCAGCTGAGCTGCACACAGCTTTGGGAAACAAGAGCCTACTGTATCATGTTTGAGAATTTTTCCATTCATAACCAGATTAGTCCAAAGGAGAACAGTTGAAGAGGAGCAAAATGACCAGGGAAGACTCTGCCATAAATCCTTTCACATTTATACTATGATTCATTTGGAAATTTAAACTGAAAGTCCCCCTTTGTTTAATCAAGAGCTGTCCACTTAGCTTGGATATGAACTATGAAGTGCACTGTATTTGTTTCTGTGTTGACATTATGAGCCCTTCCTGTTTCTGTTCACTGATGCCCATTTCCTTTGCCAGCTGCGGCTTCCTGTCTGCAATGGCTGCATGTGTCACAATGTTATATCCAACAATGTCCCTAACAGATGTTGTGTTCCCACAGGAGAGCATTCATTATACAGTGAGCAAATAATACACAGTTACTGACTGCTGTGACACTGATGTGTTTGGACATGGGGGAATCCATTTATCAGTTGTTGCACATTTCAGAAGTCCAATTCCTCAGAGCCAATGCCATGTGATGCACTGGCAATTTACAGGTCATTATGAAAGTTTAAAATTTTACAGCCTGGATGGTGATCAACTGCCAACTTTTCTTGGTAGTAATACTTTATTATGAAAGCAGCTGTGTTAAAACATCAACAGACTTGTAGTTAGTTTGTGGACAGTTTATACTTTAACAAAACTACAGTATAGTCCAGAGCTACACTAAAGGCTCTGTGAGGCACAGTAATGAGTTTAATTTAATGCTAAGGTCAGCATGCAAACATATTCACACCGATGATTATAGCATGCTCTTTTTTAGCAGGTATGATTTTTACAATATTCACAAATTTTAGCTTCATGTGTTAGCAAGCTAATGTTTGCACAATGCACATAGTTCAGCTCAGGATGATGGGATGTGATTCGTTTTGCATGTATTTGCAAAGATCAGTATAGGATCAGTCAATGTGAAAAGGGATGAATAGAGTTATTAAAATTCTTTCTGAGGGAGATGAATGTATGTAAATCAATTTTATTGTGCTAGTGGAAACATCGGGGATCACAAAAGTCAGCTGATACTTTAACTGGAGACTACAAATTTAATGCCAAATGTTGAGATACTTGAATTATAAGTAAATATTTCAGTCTGCTGATGGTACTAGTTATGCAGTAGACATTTAACTAAAACAAAAATCTAAACCTAATGGTGGAGATGGAAAAAAACAAAATCTGAGAATTGTCTAAGAAATTACAATTCGTTCACTGAGCACCATGAATGTTTGTACAAAATTTAATTTTAGTCTGGACCAGTGTGATTGACTAGCACTGCCACCCCTACAGTCACGTTGCTGCTATAGGGATTGCTAAGATATCTTAGCTCTGGCATTTTTTGCATGATGATGAGACATAAACTACATCTAGTGGAGCTCTGTGACCGGTGAGAGACACACTACGCCTTATTAAAGCTGTTTACCTTTTAACTTCTGGGATCATCTTTCACATGTGCAGTACACAGTGTGTTCAGTAGGCCCCAAAGCTCATTTGTATAATGAGCTTAGCTACAGTCATTTTTGCTTTGATGTTGGCCCCTAAGCTCTAAAACAGAATATGGAAATGAGGAGGGGGGATTAATGGTGAAGAGTAGAGGGGTGTCTGTGGTTCAGGAGGTAGAGCGGTTGGCTCCCAATTGGAAGGTTGGTGGTTTGATTCCCGTTCTCCACAGTCAACATGTGGAAGTGTGCTTGGGCAAGACAACGAACCGCTAGTTGCCCCTGATGGCCACGCAGCATCTGACAGTGCTGCCATCAGTAAGAAATTTCCCCATGGGGATTAATAAAGTATAATAAATGTATATTTAATGGCTCATACTTTATCACATTTTACCTTGAGTCCAAATGTTGACCTGTGTCACCCACCTGTGAGTGTCTAATCAGTTCTCTTTCTTATCTGTTTTAATATATGAAGGATTGTTGGACCAGAGAAGCAGTCTGGCAGTACTCCAGTCCCACATAATGTCCCTCCTCTTGCCCTCTTTTTCCTAAACTGTCATTACACCCAGCCTTTGACTTTACAAAGAAACACCCACTGACATACAAACACCTTCTTCCTCCTCAGTAGCACCATGTCTGCCTCCTCGGCCAACTTCCTTCCTGTAAAGTGGCGGGGTGACACAGGAGAGAGGAGCCAGCACCAGCAGAGAGGCACAGGTTCTGGACCAGAGGAAGGAGGGTGTGACTCAGAGCAGAGAGGATGAGTCAGGCGTCATGTGCTGAATTGGCACTCGACACAATCGTCTACAGTAAAATGAAACAGTCACTGCTTTTCTAAAGGTTTTCTGTTGGTATTTTCAAGCAGGCAGCAGATAAAATCTCCACAATGAAAAAAAGATTTAATTACTGCCATGTACAAAAAATCAGATAAAAATGTAATAAGTTAAATGGTGTTTGAGCTACAGAGTGATGCAAGTCATGATGTTGTAAATTGAGACTCTCCTGTGTGGTCTGTCAACTGTTCCTACTTCTATAATAATGAAAAATCATTTTAATAAAGGTTTTCTATTCCATCACCAGGGACAGTGTTCTTATTTTCAACTCTGCTGCTGATGTGAGTCAGTTCAAACTTTACTTCATCTGTTCCAGCCAATCTTGACTCATTCTGCCCTGTCCCCCTCTCTCTCACTCTTTCAGAACTTTGGGAAGGAGCTCCAACTCAGTATTTTGTGATGGTGTCCAAAACCTTTATAGTTGTGTTCATACTATTTCAGCTCTGTTTAATATTGTTAAAACTTTATTTTCTACAAATCTGTTTTCATCATTGCAGCTATAAAGCACTGTTATATGGCATGCCCTCTACAAAATGAAACTGTTGCGTCATGCATATTGACTTTTATTACTTTACTTACTTCTCATTTAGTTATTTCAAAGCAGTTTGGCCCCACAGAGAAATCTACAAGGGCATCAACCACTTGGAAGTTATAGTAAACTGACTATATACAAATTACCATAACATACTGATGCTTAGGCCAGAAAATGTGAAACTAAAAATGTGATAGAAAAGACAGTGTTTTGTCCATATGATAAGAGTCTAATTGACCAAAATAGTCCTGATATCAGTTGAATATTTAACCAGTTCTATGGACTTTACCTTGACTTTATGTGCAGCTTCTCTCCCCACTGTCTTAATACCACTAAACATGGATGAAATGGCTTTTTGAATTAAATGTCCCAGCACATAACGTAGAAGTAGAGTTCATAAAATGAACTATGTCCAAGTGGAGTTGGTTTCATTTTCTCCTGGCTTCATCTCCTGCTCCGTCCTTAGATAAAACACAAGCATGACGCTCTCCTCTCCTTATTTACTCAGCTGGAGAAGGTGAGAATTACTCTTAAAAAGGCAAAAGAGGAAAATGCGAGTAATCCTCCCTCTTCCTTGATCAATCATCTGCTCCATCTCTCCCAGCCCTGGAAAATCATTGGCCTCAGTGCCCTGGACTGAAGCAGGGAGGAGGAGCAAACAATGCTTGGAATGTGTAAAAAAGTTGAGTCATTCCCACATGTCAGCCTCTGGCTCAGCTCCTCCTCCTCTTGCCAAATGTATGTTGCATCCAGGTTCTCCTCATAAACGCTTCTATCCAAGTTCTTGAATTGTAGATGTTACTTGTACATATTTACTTCCCTATCTAATTAGATTGTTAAAGCAAATGAAAAATACCACCTGAAAGCTGAATTTAGGCCTTTTACTTAGTAGACATCTTGTCAAGGTGGTGAAAACTAGTGTAATTAAAATATTAGCTCTTTTCAGCATGCTTATTACTAGGACCATAGAACTGATAAATCTGTGAGTGCAGCCATGATTATTGTATAGCAATTTCATGTGTGATTTATTATGTTTGTGATTTAACATGTTCATATTTAACTTACATGTCCACAGATGGACATGCAAATACATAGGAGACAATTTTATATATTTCCTACATTGCTTTTCAATATCACAATTTATAGGCCAATTCATCTTGAATCATAATCACTCTAAGGTTTTTAATCAATTTAAGTAACGTCAATTTATCAACGTGACCAACTAACGGTGGCTCCCCCTAAATACGGATAAACACCGTGTGAATTTCTTAAATGAATTTCCACATTTGTAAATTGCGTGGTGTGCCTTGGAAATTGCGCGTCCACGCGCAACTCCTGGCCTGCCCAGTGTCCCGGTGCGCTCGCTCCCGCGCCAGACCAGTGGAAAAAACTGCTGCGGAGCCGCGCAGAGAGAAGCTGTGAGCGAAAATTCACTGGCAAGAGTTGCGCTACACACACTCGGATTTTTGTTATTCCTGCCGAGGATCACGCTGTCAAAACCGGGATTTGCGGTGGACAAGAAGTGGCAGAAGCCACGGGGCGATATAGAACATCTAAAAGGTATGAAGAAGTTCCATGAAGGTTCCTTTTCCCCCCAAACTGAAAGTACCTCAGCCACAAGTCTGGTCACTTTCCTTCGGTTGCCAAGTTCTAGTTTGTACAGCGGGGGAATTGCCGTGTTTGCACGAATAAGCGGCGTTGTATTATAACATTACTGCTAAAATGTGAAATGAATGCAGTTCACGTTCAGGGATGCGAAGACAGCGGAGAAGTTTGCCCTCCGTCGGTAGGTTTTACCGAGCGGCGCTAGCTGACTCCGGAACGTCGCAGCATATAGTGACCGCTGCTGCTGTCAGAATGTGAGGGAGGGCTAACGCACTGGAAACACCCCAGTTTGGTCCAAAATGTGATGCTGCTTGTGTTTGGTTCGCTTAAAAGTCATGTTAGCGTAAAACTGGTTTGGAAACAAGCTCGTAGCAAAGCACAACTCACTGTTTACAGAATGGGATAGGCAGCGTTCAACTTTCCGCTTCTGACCGAATAGGGGCCCAGAGACCACCGGGGTCTGCGGCCGGGGGAGCGCTGGGAGATGGCTTGATTGGCGAGGCATTAAAAACCCTTAACGTGAACATAACACTAGGTAATAAGCATAGCCACTATTGCCAGCACTGTTACCCTCCGGGTTGAATTATTTCATACCAATTAATGCATTTACAGGTGAGGTTTGTCCCTAAATCCTCCTACTCTAAAAGCAGGTCTTGTCCTAACTTTCCAACGCACACCTGTCTTCACTGTCTTCATCTTATAATAAGCTTTTTACAATGGGCCCCTGCCTATCAACATTACATTACATTATTACATATTAGAACAGATGTGAATATTATTTAAAGGTGATATTTTCTCTTGTCAACATCTGTAGTGTCAGGTTCTGAACTGCAGACTCAGACTGAAGGTAAAGTTAGATAAGTGATATTATCTGTGCAGTGGCCCTGGTTCCCTCCATTCTTACCATTAATCCAAGGCGCTGTACAGCATGCCATCCATTGCTGGCCCTCTGTTCACAGAAATCATACAGTATGTGTCTCGAGAATCATTGTTAATGTTGATATGCATAAAAGTATCGAAAGATCAACAAATATGTTCAGCTTCAGAGAAATGAGAGCCCATCTACCCTACTGGTTCAATCCTGGATCCATTTCTGCTGAAATCCACAGTATCATATACTTTTCTGCAATAGTAAGTGCTTGATTTTTGTTTATGTGAGGAATGTGTCTGTGAAAGTGAAACATTCTGCAGTCTCAGTGTCAAAAGTTCAGGCCAGGGAACATTGAAGTACATTACTGATCTAAACCTCAGCACTGGGCTCTTCCTTTACATTCACATGGGTTTGTAGATCTCTGTTCTTGTTTTTACTTGCTTTAGCTCTTGTTTTGATTACCACTGGTGAGATGACAGTGTCAACAGTACGTCTAACATTGTTACTTCTTCACCTGTTTAGAGCAGATGAGGAGGAGGCAGATTGACCATGATTTCAGATTTGGCTTCTAATCAAGTGTCCTGTGGATGCCTACCCTGGGTTTGATTGTTTCCTATATTTCAGAATTGTGAGCATACCCGACATTCTCTGTGGTGAGCAACAGGAAGACAGTGTTTTGTGTGATCTTTGTATCTTACAGAGCGGCAAAAGGTTAAGGGATTCACAGTGTCTTTGACTGATAGACAAAGTTTGATAGTTGTGGGGTATACAGATAAATGATAAGAACATTTTATAACTTTTATGTCATGATAGCTGCTCAGCAGCCACAAGTCACCTTTCACTTTTCTGCTAGTCTATCACAGACATTCAGCTACAGTATTGAGCTGTATTACAGCAGTGTGTTAGAAGAGGCGCATGGGAATGTATTTTCATTAGGATGTTTAGAATTTATGGGGAATTAATGTATATTGCCATGCATAAAATGAGAGTACAGTCAAAATTCTGTCTAGATTTGTGCAGCTACATGTTTTGATGTTTTCTAAAATGATTGTTTGTCAGATCTGTATTAACATAATGTTAGAACATAAACGTGATCCTGGTTATGATCCGCAGTCTCACTCACAACGTTTAGCTTGCCAGAATAAAACTAACTATATTATTAGCATAACTCACAGCATGACAGGATGCCTTCATGGTTTACATCTGAAGGCTTGAGAGCCTCCTCATCCTCCTCTGAACCCAGTGGTTCCAACACGAGCAGAGGCGGCGGCCTGCTGATTCCCAGAGACCCCGCTGCTGTTCTTTCTTGCAGTGACTGACTTTGCTGTGGTGCTGTTGCTAACTCTAGTGTTAACGTTAGCTGTTGTGAGTACTTAGGCTTCAGCATTAGCAGAGTTGTTTTCATCTGTGTTCTCAGTAATGGTAACATTTTTATCTTCTTTGAAATAATTACATTACTGGAAGAAAATTGGTTATTCATTGCTTGCTGTTGCTTAGCCTACCATTGTTGCTTTCTAACTGTGGAAATCTTCCTGAAGGGGAGGAATTTTCTCAATAAATCATTTCCTAAATAAATAATTTGGGATGAAAGTTGTTTCTTTTTGTCAGAGAGACCAGTGGCCCAGAGCTTCATCTGAACTGAACCTTATCAGCTCTAGTTTATCAAGTAGACAGGAAGCAGATGTAAGTGCCACTTATCAGTGACATCAGTTCTTCTTTGAAGGTTGAATGATAAAGCAGAAACACCCTGCTTGTAAAACTTATTAAATGAGCATCAAAAAATGCTTAATTTAAATGCATGAAAAAGCAACTGTGGTGCAAAAGTTCAAAGCTCTCAGTGCACAGTGTTTGGTTTAATTGGTGATCATTAGGCTCTAGGTAGGGACAGTTGCTCCTCAGCTCCTCTCAACAGTAGTCAGATACAGATAGTATGACCAAAAATCCCTTTTGGGTACCAACTCTAATGTGTCATCTTTGAATATTTTATACAAAAACATCCAGTACACTAATTAGCTTGAGCTAATGAGCTAGTGTTGCATGTTTAAACATTATTATTGCAAAGCAAATCTGCCTTTTGAAATTAGTAACACATTCAGTTATAGTTTTGGCTTTGCCATAAAGGAATTTAACGGTTAATTTGAGCCTAATAAGCCATTTTGATAAGTTTGTGTAGGCCTCACTTATTTTGAATAGAAGTTTCTGTTATATATCAACCCATGGATTTCAAAGTTACTGTATATTATTTTCCTGTTAGTCCTTAGGCATATTATTATTTTGGAGTTAAACTATTGAATTATGTGTGAGTGCTTGCTTTAGTCTACTTCAACGACATTAAATTATGCAAAGTCCTCATATTAAATTACTTAAAACCTTGCCTGAATTCCAAATGTTTTTGTTGTAATTGGTGGAAAAAAAATTAAACATGTTCCACACAAAAGGAACAAGTCAGAACAATTTATGAACAACAAATGCTTGTGTTTTTCTTATTACACAGTAGGGCCACCTGAGATATTGTCAGAGTATTTGTAACCTGAGATTAAAGGCTGTGCACACTGGTAAATGGTAGATGGACTGACACTGGTATACGGCTTTTCTGTGCATTGCAGAACACTTTCACGCTATTTGTCCATTCACCGATTTGCACTCCCAAGCACACACACACACACACATACACACACATGCACACATACACACACACACACACACACACACACACACATGGAGACGAGATTTCGTAGTCCAATGTTTCGTAGTCCATGGGGACTTTACATGGACTTACATTCATTTCCTGTAGACTAACCCTAACCTTAACCAGAACCACTACTTGCCTAACCCTAACCCTGACCCTAACCTCATCCTAACCCTAAACCATGTTGCCACCCATGGGGACCTCAATTTAGGTCCCCACCGTGAAATGGGTCCTCATGAGTTGGTATGGAGTCAGGCAGAAGTCCCCACGTAGCAGGGAAAACACGTCCACACACACACACACACACACACACACACACACACTGGTGGGGCAGCCAGCAGGAGCAGCTTGGGGTTCGGTATCTTACTCAAGGAAACATTGACATATGGACTAGAGAAGCCAGGAGACGACCTGCTCTACTCCCTGAGCCACATGCTGCCCTTAAGAGAAACAACCATGCAGTTCCAACCAATTTCACAAACATTTGTTCTGATTAAACTTCTGTAGCCTAAATAATAGATAATTCCATGCTTGACAGAATGTTTCTGTATGTGTAGGCTCTAAATCAGATCTGTCATGTGACACTGTGAACCCTGACCTCTCCCCCTTGTCCTCAGCTGGAGTTTGAGATACAGTAAGTGACAGTTGAGTTTCAGTTTCAGGAGTGTCTAGACATGCTCAGTGCTCACATTTATATATTTAGTGGGTTTGGTAGTAAAGATTAAGGTTTAAAGTTAAGGATAGAAAACTAGCATAATTTTACATCTCCAAATTGAGGTCTTCACTGCCACAAAGTTCAATTGCACTTCTGTCTTTTTGTTCCTGAAATGGTACACACGTTGTGTTAAACAACATTGTTCTCCTTCTACAATGTCAGGAATTTGGCCAAGTTGCCCCTTAAACAAAACACACCAGGATTTAGAAGGTCAGTGGAGGCAGATAAAGTGCAGCTTGTGCTGGAAGCCGTGTCTAAAAACATCAGAGCTGGAGTCCAGCTGCGTTTTGTTTTGGATCCATGTACGTGTGCAGCTCTGGGTCGTGGCTTTATTACCAAACATGCACTTTTATGAATTCAAAGCGTTACTGTATTTCATCATGAAATCACATTTTTCATTTCAGTTTTTTGGCTAAAGAACTATGCACTGTTTTCAGGTGGGGATACAAGTGACATGTTCGGGTCTTTACTGGTTTCCAGACTTGTTGCATGTGACCATGTGATCACTGTTTTACAAGTTAGCTGAGTATCATCAGTGTTATGAGTCATTTTTAGATCAGTGTTTATTCTGTCTCTTGTTGAAAGATAATGGTGGATGATGAAAGAGCAGGTTACTGTGACATGTGGATCTTAGAGTGTATCAAGCCAGAATGCCTTTACTCCTGTCAGGGTAGTTGATC